ATACATTTAAAGTTGAGAACGTTTCACAGCGATGTAAACGACTGTGTAGCAAGAAGCTGAAAAGTGTAAAATTTCGGATTACCGCGAAGTGAAATCTGAGCTTTAATTCGGTGCGATAACCGTTTTTCGTGAATTTCTGCCGTTTTATTGGATATTTCAAAAAACTAACTTGATTTCCTTCAGTTACTTACCTAGGCCTTAAAACTGGCAAATTATGAGCAAAATCGATTTTTCGACCGTGGACACACTTTTAGAATTTTCTTTGATTTTTACTGACATTTACTCTTAACTCGTAGCTTCTCTAAACTTTATGGTGAGTGTTAACTATTCCGGTTGGCGAAAATTTTTATTCGTTGAACACACACGCTAATAATGAATGGATGATGAGCTAAACTCACGAGGTCTTATGCTTATGTAAATCTTAGAAAGTTCCAGAAGCATCTTTGCGTATATTTGGGTTTGCGGGACAATGCAGACTAATTATTAAATACTCTACATTACGACTATACCTGACAGGTGACAGAATGAATAGGATTACATAAGCTGATTATGTAGCAGTGAGGTTTGACGATTGCGGGGGCGTCAAGTTCTGCTAAGTCTGCATATATAGCGACCATGCATGGATGTAGATATTTAATACTTACTGCTGTAGTGTAGTGATAAAACTACAACTAAAATACACTTGAGGTTAGAACTGAACAGCAACTGCTCGCTTACTTATTCACAGTTGTCCAAAGCTCGTCCAAGGTCTTCTTTTCTACTCAAAAATTTACCTCTCCCCTCTGCTTAAGTTGTTCTTGTTTCTCTACTTCTAAGCTGCTATGCGAATAACACTCAAACGTGTTCCTTTAGTAGTTATCCCTTAAGTGGCTATTGCGTAGTTAATGACGTAGTACAATTTCAGACAGACAATATCAAGCGAATGAGTACCTTAAGGAGTCCTACAGCATGTCTGACAGCAAATGCCCCGGTAGGCAATTAGGGTCAAAAACAGCTTTCTCATTCAAATCTTTAGTTGAAGAGTACAAGAATTTACCTTCTCATTTAGCTTCAGTTCAAAAGAAAAACAGAGTCCTAAGAAGACTAGAAAACTTGCTAATCGATAATCTGAAAACGCGCGCTAACGGGATGCGGGAATGTTGAGAAAAGCTGGCAGTTTTTACTTCCTGTTTTGCACATATGCGCGAGTCAATACTGATGATAGAAATAACTTGTTTGTTCATAGGCTAGTCATATAAGTGCAGATATAAGTTGTATTTTAATGATATACGAGTTACTGTAAAATTGGAAAGCTGGCTGTTAAAGCGTCACAGTTTAAGCCGTTTTCACGTTTTAGTCAGCCCAAGCTATGCTTATTTATTGGTGGAGAGAGTTTTTAAGGCATCATTGTTGCCTTTGATAATTTTATATTATAAAACACTAGCGTATAAGCTCTCGAGCCTTTTCGATCTCGGGCTAATATTTTTATTTTGTTATAACAAAATTTCCCCGGAAACTATCAATTCATCTATCTCTGAGAGAATAACCGAATTGCTATATTAATATTTTAAGCTGTTGAGTTTATCAGCGTATTAGCTTTATCATAGAGAATATCAATGCAGTTGTGCACTTGAAATATTATAGTGTTTACGGTGTACAACGTAGTTGTATGCATGCTCCCAACAGCATGAACCTCAGCCATAATTCCTCAGGAAGTTTGTGAGAACATTGCAGATTGTTTTAGATCGCTCGACTGCTAGTATATAGTGAATAAGCGACACTTTGTGAGAGAAATAGTACGCAACGATGCACTGCTATATTTGCAACACATATTCGCATAAGCGGGTCTTTTCAGCTGAACTTAAGTGTGGTAAATACAAGCTATCTCAGTAATCAGAGAGCTGGCTATTTCTAGCAATGGCGAGGAACAAAAATAGCAAATCAGTATTGTCTGCTGAGCTTACTGGTTCAAAAATACTACCATTTTTTTTCTTTAACTTCGGGAAGTGCGGTAGGCTGATTCGGATTAACCAACCTGCATTTAGACGATGGTGAGATAATTGCGTTGTGTTTTTTGGCAAGAGACTTCACTCTACTCTCACAGTGCGTTTCTCCACCCAGCAGTCAAAATGGGTACCATAACTGGGTGCTACGGAACTTAATGGTGGGTATCGATAGCGTTGCGATTAACAAACAACATATCAAGAGAGCGGCGAGTAAAATATTTAATACTTCCTGTCTCTTAATACTGCAGGAACCGATAGAAGCTAAGCGACCCCGAAAAAAAAATTCGCCTTTTACCCTGTCTGAATCGTTCTCAAGTTTATGACAGTAAGACACACAAGGGTGGGTCACTCAAAGGACAATGCTAAGACCGCGTCCACTTTACGCCGGAGAAATTTGAAAATACAGCTTTATTTCTACGGTTGGGCCTATCGTCGACATTAATCTGTCACAAAAACGTGGCTTTTCGAAAACGCTCTTCAAACCGGAGGAATTTGAAAATGCCAGCTTTTCGTTGTCGTGCGGACAGAAAAGATTTCGAAAACGGAGCTTTTTGAAAACGATGGCGTCACGATAATCATGTGATCTCCCTTGCAGAGTTTTTCTCAAACACAAATCCAAACTGAACAGCGATTGTTGCGGTTTTAACTTTCTCCGGCGAAGTGTGGACGGAAAACAAGGGATACGTTAGTGAAAACTCCGTTTTCAAATTCCTCAGGTCAGGGAGTAGTGTGGACGGGCCCTTGCACTAGTTTATTTGGGGAATATAATGCTATTGGTGCCAACGCCCTTAAAGTACAGCGGATCCCTAGTTAGCTGAACATTGCCCACGAAGTCTAAATTTACTACAAATGACATGTATTACCATACAGCCCAACCGAAATGAAGTGCATGAGCTTTGAAATGTAACACGTTATTTCGGTAAGACTTTAAGCACAGCAAGTCAACAATTTTCTCATTTCATTACCAACAGCTGGTTTCTTTACACTGCATGAGAAAATGTTTAAGAATTCCCAAAGCAGTGGAATGGCTCTTAATTCCATCAAAAGCAGAAAAAATATATGCAGTGAAAGAAGCAAGAATTTGAAGTTTTGCTCTCCTGGAAAACTGAATGTTTTCCCTGGCCGGGCTAACGTTTAATATGAGCAAAAGCATGGAATGGTTGATTTATTTTATGATTTATTTTTTATTATTATCATTATTATTTTAAAACACTTCATTCAGCAATAAGTAATACCCGCGATGGAAATATGACCAAACCTTAGGTTTTTTTGTTTGCGAAATAGCAACCTGGCAACGTAAGAATATCAGATCGAAACTCGTTAACCATGCGTCACGATCATAATATGATGATGTAAGTGACGCCTAATCTGTATAACAGGTAAACAGGTTATTTTTATGTATAAAAGCGGTCAGTACGATACTGATTCTGTAGGTTATTTTAGTTAACACTTTTTAGCAGAGTGGCTGAGCTATTTTCCACTCTCAGACATTAACCTGCAATGACTGGAGGTCGTCTACAAAATGACAACTTTTTTTATTAACGAAGTCTCGTTACACGACTTTAAAAATTCGAAATTGTTTAAAAGAAAAACAAAACAAAACAAAATATAACAAAAACAAAAGCAAATGAGCACTCTTACACAACTGCAAGTTTCCAAGTTTCAAATTACAATTCAGTTGGTAAGATTTTGCAAAAGTGAGTCCATTTTACGCAGAACCGAATTGGGTTATTTTCGATGAGAACGAATGCTGAATCTCCTATCACCTCATACAAATCGAGAGCGAACAATCTACTACCTTTATCAATCCAACAGAAAAGCGTACAGATGACAGCTCCAAATGAGGTACATTTTATCAAGATCTGAGTTACCATAGCAATGTTATGACGTCAGACCCCATTTTACATGAGACCGAATAACAGAAAAATAATTCGCGAAAAGTGAAGACTACTGCAGGCCAACAACAGTTTGCAAACAATTTTAGCTCATGTTATGGGCAAGCTGCCATTGCGCGTGCACAACAATACAGGCGCTGGTTGAAGAACATTATAATAGCGGCTGTTGTGTAGCTTTTTGACTTTTTTTCTACCGAAGGTAGTAAAACGTGGTATGAGAGTCGTTGAAATGTTTACAAAACTGAAGTAATCTCTCATATGTCTGACAAAAATGTAGACACTATAATTCAATTGAACTATGTAAGTGAATTTCCTATTACATAGTTTTCATTGATATAGAAATGAAAACTACAATTCAAAAGTTAAAAAAAAAAACGAAGGATCTGTCGTGCAATCTAAACTAGTGCTTGAAAGTGAAAATCTCATGACTTCAAAGTAATTTGGTAACAACAACAAGTGTTTTATTTAACAGGCTCCAACCAGTTGCAAATGAACAAATTAAGACGGAATACACCACAAGTTATCACAGGGCATCTGACTGGATGCGGTGGTGCGGATCGGCGTAATTCGCCTACTTCTGCATCCCCCGCATCCTTAGGGCATTTTTTCGCATAAAACTAGAAAATTGCTACATATAAGCGAGAAAGCAACTGCTTACCATCCTCAGAAGCAAAAATAGCGAGGAGATTGATCATTTTGAAGAAGTTATTCACCCAAAACAGTGACGACAACACGCTTTTCGTTCGTAACCAATTTTAAACCGGCGGGCGCTCGATGCGTCTTCTGCTGATGGACCTGGGTTCTGGTTTTGTTTTAATACTGATTTCTATTGGATAAAAGGAGTATGCATTTCAGCGAATAGCAGTAACTTCCGGTGTCCAGTTTTCCTCGTCCGATTTAATGCCTGGTTACCAACCTTCGGACAAACTCAACGACGAAAACTATGGAAAAACTGCGTTGAACGAAGAAATACCTGTCCACGAATGGCAGCAAAAGGTCAAACATGTCATAAAGAACTTCAATTCTCGGTAAGACGTTAAATTGTATCTTATACGTTGGAAATAACCAAGGGAACAACTTTATTAATTTTAGAAATTTCCACATCTGGCGTCTTTTCCGCATAATCGTCACTTTCTGCCGCATAATATTGCCGAAAATTTCCACATAATGTTCCATTTTTTCCGCACCCTATCAGATGGCCTGTAATACATAACAAGCAGACAAAAATTTGTACCGAGATTATTTACATCGTGTTGCAAACTTGTCTGCGACTGTTTTAAACACCTTATCAAAAGAAATCATTCCTAACAGCACGAACTGTCGAAAACAAATTTTGAAGTTCATATGAAACAGTTGAAAGTAATGATGAATTCTTACCTGTGATTGCACAATTTTGCTGAACTTCGAAATTCATTTTCTCGAGTTCCGATGGGCGAAATTGTTATTGGTGTGATTTCAGGCAACTATTTATATCTTTAGCTTTTAGAAAATGCAGAAAGGATTGCAATATACTTATTCTGGTACAAGCTAGTCTTTCCATTGAAAACCGAAATTGCTCGATTTTCTATCAGATTTGATCTAAGACTGCTCATGGTTAGGCCACAAATTAGCAAGAGACGTTGCAGGCATAAGTCCCAGTAATTACATATACTCTGGTGTCATTTCTGTAACTATCTAATCATTATGACGCGATTTATGTCACTTTACAGGCTGATGTAAAGTAAATTATCGCTGAACTGTTATCAGGGACATGATTGCTAATATGGTTGTCATTAGCATCAGCAGTGACGTCATTATGACTCCAGGTAGACATTCAAATTCCCACAATCCTTCTTTAAATTTAGTTCATTTATTATAAAATTAATAAAATAATGAAATAATGCATTTTACAGGGAGAAAAAATCTTGTCACAAATTCAATCAACCATCTGGGATTATTAAATTGTAAATTTTCGAGCCTCCTCTAAGCAGCCTTCAATAATTAAGTAATCTTACTTAACTAACAGTTATACCTATTTGTGTTATATAAAACCTAGAATAAATATCGGTTACGACAAATTACATGTAGTTATGTTCCAAGAGTTGCCATGGAAATAATTAAGTTGGTGAAAGCGAACAATTTGCTCAAAATGTTGGTAATTAAGTTTTGGAAAAAGGAACAAAATTTGATAAAATAAGTGTTTTAAAAATTTCACATTATCCACCTTAACATTTTTTCTCCCCTGCGGTCAGAACAGGGTTACTATAACTGTAACATTTTCCTTGAAACAGTGCAGTAGAAAATGTTTTATGTCGTTCAAGAGAAATGAAACTCAGTCCTTTTTGTTCACTCGCTAGATGATGGTCCCACTGAGGATTCTCGATACCCGTTGTTAGCAAACTCTAAGTTGTGACGCACTATTGCAGGTGGACTGAAAGATCCCGTGGAGGAGGCACACCTAAAGTATAACATTCCTTTTAGCTTCTCTCGGAATGTCTTGTTTATCAGAGCGTACACAAATGGGTTGACAGCAGTATTGAGCAGGATCAGCGTGTGGATAACGGAGTATGTGTCTTTACTTGTGCTGAGAGATGTGTAGTAATCTACGCTGTGTGCAATTATGTCGGACACCCAACAGACTCCAAACATGACAGTGACAGTTGCCGCCATCAAGGTAACTCGCTTCCGCACTCTGATTACACCCTGCGTATAGCGAGATACAAATCTAATTAATACGATAACAAATGAATCAGCGTAAAAAAAAAAAAGATTAAACATCAACCGCTTAAAAGAAACTCAAAAAAGTGACAGGACTTGTCAATCACAATGTCACAGTGAGTATTCTAGCACTCACTGAGTCGCCATCGCAATGTCACATTCATCACAACATAAATAATTTATCTATCATATCAGTCTTTCATTTTGATACAATCGTGATTGGAATAAAAAAAAAAAAACCCTTAGATATTTACAAATTTCCTTCGATCACGAAATTGTGTATTGGGCAAGACACTTTACTCTTAAATTGCCTCTTTCCATCTAGGTGTATAAATGAGTACCGGCAAAGTTAATGCTGGTGCCGGTAACCTTGCCATGAACTAGCATCCCATCCAGGGGGGAGTAGAAATACTCCTAGTTGCTTCATGCTACAGAAACCAGGATAAGCTCAAGCCTGATGGGCCATTTGGTTCGTATGCAGACTTAACCTTTTATATTCATATATATTTATTACTTATGGAATTTAAGTATCATGCATTACTCAGTCGGAAAAATTTAGTTCATATACTGATGGATAGGCTTCATGTGACACCAGTCACGAAAGAGATATCTAGGTGAAGCTGAAGCGAAGGATTCCAACACATGAAGAGCCTTTGTCTTATTACAGGTACTCACCCTCTGCTGGAAGGCGGGCTGATCGTCTTCAACACGTTTGAGCCACAAAGTGTAAACGATTCTGGTATATAGCCCAGCCATCATTGCCACAGCCACAGCTACCAGGCTTGACCACAGCAAATCATAAGCTTTGGGCATCCAGTCTTGGCCGTACACCCAGGCATTCTTACAGTAGCCGTCCTTTACTTCGACGATCAAGAATAATGGCAGGTTGAATATCAGTGAAAAGATCCAAGAACCAGGAATAATCATCTGAAAAGGTAAAGAACAAAATTTATGAAAGTAATTCACAACAGAATGACAATTTGTAGTGGCGGCGTTCATTACAAACGATGGCCAATAGACCTTTTTACTTATGCGGCGCCCATTTTGAATTCCATTGTTTCAAATAGCTATTATGGCATGCTCTTAGGGAGGGGGGCGGNGGAGGCAAATACATACCAATTTCTCCCCTGAGCATACTAAAATAGCTATTAAAAAAACAAAATTCGAAATAGCCGCCATATTGGTAAAAAGGCCTATTAATTAATGTCTTAGTTCAGCAGCAAATGTCTACGTTGATAATTTTATAAATAATTTTGCAAAATTCGTCTCCATGCAGGCTCGTGGCATTTGTTCATAATATGGCTATCGAACTCGCATGGCATTGGATGAAATCGATACACAGTTATAAGAGAGTTGCACTCGAGGACATCCCTTTACTAAAAGTTTTATATTTTAACTCTGACGCAATTAGTAAATGCGAAACAGGATACAAGGAATTAAACAATTTACAAAATACAGTCAAACCTGTATATAACGGTCACCCTTGGGAAATTGCCAGGTGACCGTTATATGTAGGGTGACCGCTGTACACAGGTTTCCCTTAAACTCCCTGGAAGTCAATAAATAGCATTTTTATGTGCAAATAATCACTCAATTTACGTTTTACTGAGAATAACGAGTAGCAGCAACGAATAAACACGATAAAAAAAGGCGCACAAAATGTCCGAGGTGTACTTTAAGAGAGGTGCAGTATACTTTGATCTCAGAGAAGTTTCCTGAGAGTGGTTGCATCGGACGCTGATAGAAGAGAAATTTGATGCCGAGCGCTGTGTTGGTCTATAAAACAATAGCCTAATACAGCGTAAAACCGCCGCTGTCAACTTGATAAGTACAGTAAAGTGTTATAATCAGGAAACCATGACGAAAGTGAAAACAGTGTGGCACGGTTGTATTGTTACAGTTACACTAACTATTGTATGAAAGGTACGGCGCTTTAATGTTATTTTCCGCGAGCATGTGTAGCTGTGTTTAGTACTAATATTTAATAAGATTTTCTTCAGGTCATTTTTCCAGTAGTGTTATGGTTGCATTCGGATCTTTCATTCTTTCATTTAATTGTTACTGTTGGACATCTATTACCATGGAATTCATATGCTTGAGCCGAGTATAACGTCCACTGAACATATAGGGCCGAACTCACACACGACCGCTCTCATGTGGCTTTGATAGCTCAGTTGGTAGAGCATTGCATCGGTAACGCAAAGGTCGTGGGTTCGAATCCCGTTCAGAGCCTGAATTTTTTTCAGGTCATTTTTCCAATAGTGTTATGGCTGCATTCGCATCTTTCATTCTTTCACTACTATTTGTATTTTTGTGAGATCCCTGCCTTGGTGGCTTCTATTTAACGAGCTGATGAATAAAGCACGTCATCATTCGTTAATTGTAAGCCAATTTGGTGACCGTTATATACAGGTAAAAGATAATGAAATTGTGGATTCAGGAAGTCTAAAGGGCGACCGCGTCCGTTATACACAGTTGACCGCTATATGCAGGTCATGTTAACAGTAAATATAAGGGACGATTTTTGGGAACTTGTTCAGTGAACGTTATACACAGGGTGACCGCTATATACAGGGCCGTTGTATACAGGTTTGACTGTAGATCGTGAAAGAAAGGCAACAATTTTGGAGAAGTTCATTATATAGAAATGGTTTTAACCAAATTTTCTTTCCATTTCAAATGGAACTTGCCATTTTTTTTTTAACCGTTAGGATGATACCAATTGTTGTGGTTGTTTATGACGTCTATCATTCTTACTATTCTCACTTTTCATACCTACGTTGTTAAATAAAGTGTTATACATGTATGTTTTGTATGTTATCTAAATCTACATTTTCAATTATATCAGCTGCATCTGCCCCTGCATGATTATCAGTGTCTGTACCTGAGTTTGTATTTTTACCCTTCTACATCCGTTTAACTATCTGTGTTTGTATATGCGGTGTCCCTATAAGTTTATACCTGTCTATGCATTAACAAAAATTTTATATTAATTTTTAACAACATATATTTTTGAAAAGTGAATAAAGATGGAAAATGTTTGGCTCGTTAATGAAATATGAAAGTTGAATTGATCAACATGACACGAGCGTGGGACAAAAAATTCTGAATCCGCGACAGGAATCGAGCCTATGACTTTACATAGTCACAGTGGTCGGTTGGTCATGGGGTCGATTCCTGTCGGGGACTCAGACGTTTTCTTTGTCCCACGCTCTTGTCATGTTGATCACTTCACCTTTCACAAATTATTAGATTTTATCATAATTTACACGCACTAACAATAATAATAAATAATAATAACTTTATTTAAGTGTCGAATGTATTTAGCACTATTGTGCTAATTGGGGACACTGTAAATAAGTTACTAAATATTGCAAATGGAAAAGATACTATTAAGAATCCCAACTGGTGGGAGGCTGACCAGTTGGCTTTTTACACAACGCAGTCGTGGAGTTGAACTCGGGACTATCGAGAACAAATCCAGATAGCAGTAGGATGGAGGATTTGAACCAGGGACCTCCAGGTTTGGTGAACTGGTGAAATTAGGACCTGTGTTCCTAACGTTCGCAAGTTTCAGGCTTCCTCACTGCATGAGGCATTGGCTCACCTTCAGTTTCTTCTTGGTAAGTCTCTTGTTTTCATAAGGATAAATCACTGCATAATATCGCTCAAAGGCGATTACAACCAGAGTGACCATGGAGGAAAATCCTCCAACCCACGCGAAGATCCCAGCTGTCAACAGTTTGCACATGACTGTACCACCCACTCCCCCTGGGTGGTTGCCAGTGATTGTCAACACAACTTCTGGCGCAATAAACGTTGCGTACATCATATCTCCTATAGCCAGGTTCACTAGTAGATAGTTGATGGGAGTCCTGTGGAATGTGACGAAAAGAAATGGAATGGCTGAAGTGGCGAAGGCAAGGTTATGTTGCGCATGTGCACTCGTGAGCTGGAAGCCAGCTTCTCAAACTCATTCAAACTTCACCAAGGTTAAACAAAGGAAATCATGACTGTGACGGTGTTTGGATAGCTGATTTTAAAATTATAATTGAACGATTTTGTTTCTCCGTTTTCTCCTTAGTTTTAGTTTCGATTGAGAAGATATATCAAACATTCAAGACGGTTTTTGACAACATTTCCAAAGACCTCAAGGTTCATAAGAAATACACCGCTGCGCGCAGCATTTTCAACTCTCTTCTCGGTGTTTGGAAATGTGGTCAAACATGGTCTTTCGCTTTTGACATACTACCCATAACGTTAGTTTTGCCATACCCTCATCTAAGACCATGCTTTTCGATGGAATTTTTTATGAATTTGAGCTATGTGTGTAAATTAATTGTTGAAAATATTGCTTCTATTTAATATACAACTGTGATATCACATGATTTGTCTTGGTATACCTCATATCTCTATTTCTCTTTATGATCGCACAAACAAGAGAATTCCCCACAATATTCACTATGAATACTATGCAGTAAATTGTTGCTATGGCAATGTCATCCGACCCGGCCATGACTGGCGTCTGTCTTTGATGTTGCTACGTTACGCAACCTGGATAACAGAGAGGAATAGTAATGAAAAGCCATAAATCTATATAAAACTAGTCGATGATTTCTTAAGGATAAGGTATAACCAACAATCAGTGGCGTTAAGTGCGCCCGATAATGACCAACCCCCTGCAGGGAATCTGGCAGCTGTATTCATTAAACTCTGGCCCAAGATGTTGAATACAACTACCATGAGTCCCTGTAGCACGTCCCATAGAGGAAATCGGCCACCGATACACTTCAATAATAATAACAATGATGATACGTACAGTGTAATATATATATTACAGTACCGCATTCCTTCAGCCTAATGGGTTTCACAAAAATATTGTTACAGACTGATTGATTGAGAAGTTGGAGATAGTTCTACTCGATCAGCGTGGATTGAAAAGGTATAGCCCCTGATCTTCGATAAGCAATTTGGTTTAATTCTTCTCGGCCGCTTCTATGCAGCAGCTGCAACGCTCCATACATGAATTACTTGCACTATTCGCCATTTCCTAGCCATTATGGGGTTGTCTGCGAGACATTCCATTTATCATAGTCTTTCGCAGAAAAATCTTCATCAGGGGACACATGCGTGAATTCGCATATTGAAAGCATTTGCCAGTCAAGATCTAGGGAACCATTCTATGTCCATGAAACCGTCATTATTCATGTTTTACCTCACATACCTAAACTGAGACGAGGTTATGAGAAATTCTGAAAAAAGCTCTGTCGGAACTACAGTATACGCAACCTGGCCGAAAAATATTTGTACATTTATACTGCAATGCAACACTATCACTTTAACTAGTAATAATCTGGTGAGGTGTGGCGATTACTAAGGTGTTAATTTCTCCAAGTCTGTAAATAACACGAACGTACATGGATTGAGGTATTTAATAATGACTGCTTGCTTTCCGAAAGCAGTGAAACTCTGTGGGCATGTGTCCAATTTATGAATTTCAGACAAACGGATCAGAAAAAGTAGATTATTTAACCCTGAATAAGACTAACCAGCAGATTCCGCTCGTTGACAATAAGCCCTTCGTATGAGTGGTCATTTCTTTAATGAATCTCCACCTTCTTAAAAATGAATTTGCTGATTACTTTTTCTTAACTTAATTATAAATTTCGTGGGTAGCAGTTACGAGTGGTCATGAACTTGAAGAATGCTTAAATTACGACCGTAATCTTTCAGCTGATCATGAGCCCCAAGTCATCAACAAACCAAGAAAAACAGAGCAACAAGAAGTTTGCTTTGCAGCCTTGCTTCAGAGGTGATCATTGCAGTATTAATATTGTTAATAAAATCCTTTGTGACACATTTTCATGGAGTGTAGTGAAACATGCAGAGGATTGTTACAAAACCAGAAGAAAAGAAGAGACCACTAATACGTATACAAGATAGAAAATGTACTAAAGCTAATCAGTTTAAGTCGGGCAACTTGCATTGACTATAGATTATACCATTGACTCTGTCAATTGAACAATTGTTGTGAAAGTAATAAAACGCACAATAAGAATCTCAAAGTCATCGGAAACGGCAAAAAACGAGCGAAGCTGACAATTGATAATTCATGACTGCTTCCGAATCAACATAACAATCTTTAAACGAATTAACACTATTAATATCACTTTAAGCACTATTTTTAAATGCCTTTGCAGTTTTTTTTTTTTCCATTTAAGCAAAACATTATCCATAAGATTTTCACGTTTCATTTTAACACATTTTCATCAGTTGCATGAAAACGGCAGACGACCTACCGAAAGCTCAACGTTTTAAATCATACATGTATGTTACCAGTGAAAGCTTTTTAAAATTCTTCAACGAAGCAAAAATTAATGACGGTTCTTGAGCTCCGCTTAAGCAGAAAGGCCCAGAATAGACATACCAATCTACAAGTGACTGATACTGCCAACAAAAAATGATCGAATTCAAGTGTTTTTCAGCTGGATACTGGTATCGCCTCGAAATTGAGCGGCATACTCTATGTAATGGATTTCGACAGTCAATATCACACTCTTTTAGATCGAGATAAATGCGCCGTCTGTTCAGCGAAAATGTGTTACTTCTATAAGTTTCTAGCTCCAAGCTGACCTACCAAATCATATCAACAACAAATATCTTTTCTTTTGCCTACTTTTTTTTTTTTAAGGAAAGCATGAATTCGAGAGGCGAGTGGCAGAATTCGAACCGAGAAAACTAGCAGTCTCACTTCTTTCGCACATTTGACTAGCACACGCTCATGCCGCCCTCACACTACACGACAACACGACTTTTACAACAACGAATGATCAGCTATTCATACTTTTGAGTATTCCATCTCGCCTGTCCTACTCATGGAAAGCATAAAGAGTTCAGACAACCCCTACGTTAAAACACATTTGGTAGAGATACCAGATGTCATTGTTAAAAGTATCATTCGCATTCCGAATACGCTAATTAGCTCGAGTAGATCTACACAGGTGGACGGCAGGCAGAACATAGCAATAAAACTAAACCTAAAATACTTGAGATTTAAAGAAGGTAACAACAATTCTCTTACTTATTCAAAGCTTTTTCTTACGCTTGTCAAGATTCTTCTTCTCAGCTCTGAATTCCTTCCTCAATTTTCTCTAGTGAAGTTTCATCATCTTACAAGTGGTTCTTTAAATGAGTTCTAAATTCGTCAACTGTATATCATTCTATAATTTTCTTCTTTCGTTATTGGCTGGCAAAGCAGATGACGTTGTCTAATCTTGGAAGTACTTTATCACGAGACATAATACCCTCGGGTAAACCATCTGAAAAAAGTGCTGAGATCGTAAGTAGGATCAACAGCAGCTTCCTCCTTCTTTATTAGCATTTCATTTGCTGACGAGTACTCCAATTTAGATTTCAGTCGGACGAAAATATTAAGGACGTTGTTGATGATTGGATGCAGAATTCATAGCCTTAAAGCGTCACAATCTTACAAACTTCAAAAGAGAAATTCGTCTACGGCAATATCCTAGGAGAACGGTTCGCAAGTTTTCAGCAAGTCGCGTGAACATTTAGTTGTAAAGACATTGGCAACGATTAGTCATTATACTGTATACTGGGATTGTTTTTGCTCTCATTTCCATTAACACAAGACTTCCGCAGAGAAACCATCGAGCTAGATTCGTTTTAACTGCAAACATTGTAGTGAAACGAGTAATTGGTGAAGTTTTTAGTTCTTTGGGTGTAATATTCAAGGAAAAAATTGACTTCTAAATACTACAAACTTTTAGGGTGGCTACGGCGCCAATGAACTCATGCAGTAAGTACGTGCAGTTCCTTAAAACAAGAATAATATCGCCTTAAACAATGTAATGCAAAACAAACGTCATCTGAAAGGCTTAACAATATTATTCATAAATATATCAGTGAGCGCGGGCTCTTTTTAGCTCATTTAAAGTCTGGCATGATGAATTCTGGCGTGGTGAATTCTGAACTGTATACAACGACTAGTGTAATTAGACTAAAGTCACTTTTTGAAAGTAGTTTAGAATTGATGTTTACTAAGGAACAAAGCTGCAAGAGACGTAATGAACAAAGATGGTTTTAATTGAGACAGATTACAAACGACAAACTTGAAAACATTGGCACATATTCAAGTAGCACTTTCCTCGAAGTAACACCTTTAAATATTTGGAAGCAGTCGTTTCTTATGTTGTATTTAACACAACCGCATACATTCATTGTGATAATTATGTCATAGAAAAGGTAGACCATGTTATACCAAGTCGAGAACTTTCTCTTCTGAAGGACAGCCTGCCGGCTGTATTATAAATTTACTTTCCTTTCTTGCGACAGGAAGATAAAACCCCAAAAAGTTGACACCAACTCAAAACTCAACAATAAATGTAACCAGCAAAATATTGTATTCTCAAGATCGGTTTCCGCTCGTCGAATCGAAAGCAGTCTGTTCTTAGCAATCACGAGGAGTGAAAAAGGAAAAACAGTATTGTGCTAGTTCATGTGTTCATGAATATAATCTAATTTTACGAGCGCATTTGACTGGGCTGGCTTAAGGTGGCCGAACACAGTTTTCGCGCTTTTGCTGATGCAATTCAGCGCGCGCACAAGGATTGCAAAAAACAAACATGCCGTCAATAGAGCGATCATTTTATTTACTCAACACCAGCAGTATCTGCGCTATTTTTCTCTATAACTGAACTCAGCGTATTGATGGCTTTAGTCTTTTATTACAAACATACGCTAGAAAAGGTAACGATGCAAAGAACCCAGCAATTCTCAGCTTTTTCTTTCTTACCGTAAGAACCCAGTTAAATGCAGCGCATACGTAGCTAGTAAGTAAAAAATTGCGATTGAATGAAAATTGCACTCTCGGATATACGCCTAGTTTTCGAGAACCACTCATTAGAATTTCCGAAATTTAGCAGAAAATACTTTAGCAAATAAGTAACTGGAGTATTGAAAATAATTGAACTTTAACAAAGGCAATTCTAGATATTCCAGTGGACCTTCAACAAGGGATAATTAAAGATCTCTCTGTTAAATTATTAGCAAAATGGTGTTAACTTGTGAGAATCGTTACAAGCTTGTNCCAGAAGCATTTAAATTACATCACATCCTTATAATTATGATTAATAATATACAAAGTTAAGTGATGACGTCTAAGTTGCTTACCCAGTCTGAGGAAACAACAAGATGCATTCATTATAAAGTTTACTTTTCGGGGCTTTGAAGAGAGTTTCCAGCTTGGAAAATTTTATAGATTCGTAATTCCAGCTCAGTTCTTTGACTATGAACCTTTCCCTCAACAGGGTTAGCAAAGTCTTGTAGCGACTTAAAGAAGCTTGATTCTACTGCACAAAATGGTACATATATCATTGATCCTGACGGCGACGGAGGCTTGCCTCCTTTATTTGACGTCACATGTGACATGAGTGACAGGAATGGAGTTGGCGTGACAGTCATCAGTCACGATAGCGAGACCAGAAATTTAGTGAGTGGATGTGATGGTCCAGGGTGTTACACGCGTAACATTCATTACCCAGGAGCGAGTCTTTCACAGCTGGCAAGTCTCACCAGAGTCTCCTCACACTGTGAACAGTTTATCAAGTACGAGTGCCACGGCTCGAGTTTTAACTACGACAACGAAAAATTCGGATGGTGGGTGTCACGTGATGGCCTAAAGACAAACTACTGGGGAGGAGCCTCGCCTGGAAGCAGTCAACAAATCTGCGCATGCGGCATGTCCAACACATGCGCAAAATCCAATTCAGCTTGCAACTGCGATACAAATGACCTTGCATGGCGTGAAGACAGCGGTCTCCTCACGAATAAGACGCATCTTCCAGTTACACAACTGAGGTTTGGGGATACTGGGGGAGACCAGGAAATCGGTTACCACACATTAGGAAAATTCAAGTGCTACGGCATAGCATAATTCTCTTCAGTAGCAGTCGGTGAGATCTATGCGGCTTAACAGACTGGGAAACTTGTCATGGAAGTTAAGGAGTTAAGTATATGTTTCACATTTTGAACACCCGAATCAAACATCGGGCGCATAACATGGCAGAGGAAGCAATGTTCAGGACCATGATGCAAAAATTCTCATGGTACTCATCTCTAAAGCTTTTATGTAAACGTGGTTAAGTATAATTGAAATGTACTGAATTGAATCCATTTTGTAACCACTTTAGGGACTGTAAACAACCGTTGTTATGGGCGTTGCTATGTTCAAATATTGCTATATCTTAATTTAAACGTAAATCAAGGAGCGATTAGAGCAAAATGGTTTTAAAATACCTTTTGCAAATGCTCAGAGATGTTGAATGTTCATGTTTCGAAAAAAATGTTTTTCTTTGGGGGAAAAACTTTGTATTTCAGGGTAGAAGAGCATCTTTTATAAAAGGTCATCCATGGGTTATCAGCGAGCAATACCTAAACCATTCGCAATAAGAGCCAGATATGTAAACAATAGCCTCCATCCGGACCGAAAATATGCTCGGATATTTGTCCGCCGACATGATCTGTTCCGAGAAGCGACCATTTTTCCGACCCGAGAGCGAAGCTTGGGAAAGCTTAGAACCTAGAGGAACAGATCTGTCCAAGGACAAATACCCGAGCATAATTTTAAAGTCAAATGGGGGGCATTGTGTTTAGTATCCTTCACACATTTTTCGCAACTCGCGGGAAGGTTTGAAAACTGGCTTATATCACTCAGATAATTCTTAGCTTAGCTAGGGCATATTCAGTCATGTGAAGCGTTAAGATCAGTCGCGAGCAAGCCAAAATATTTGATGGATTATAAATAACGTTAGCTTAATAGGAAATATTCTTAATTAGTGTGTAAACGTCGATAGAATCGATGCAAGAATAACCCCGCCTGATTCCATGCTTTCCCTGATATTTAGCTTGTAAGGTTAACGAAACGTGTGTATTTTGAAGTATATCAACGGCTCTGGTGGAAACTGGCCACCGCGTTTTTGACCAACACTGGATCGAATGAAAGTTTAAACGGTGTATAATAAACTGTTTGTAAAGCTTGGTCGGCCAGGGGAGATTCATGCATCCCTCGTGTCTATCGACGAGACAAAAACTTAAAACAGCTTGCATGAAAAATGCATTCCAATAAATATGACTTTTGATTCATCTGTCCTATGATTAGATACATGTTGCAGAAGTTCGAGTAACAACTGAAGGGACAAAAACTTTGTACTGAGATTATTTACACCGTTTCGCAAACTTCTGTGCGACTGTTTTAAATATCTCCTCAAAAACAATCATCTCTAACAACACTAAAAGTCGAAAACAAATTTTGAAGTTCATGTGAAACACGTGAAAGTACTGGTGAAATGAAACAGATGATGGAATTTTACCTGTGTTTGTGCGTAATTTCTCTGAACTTTGAAATTTATTTTCTCGAGTTCCCTTTCCAATTGTTTGTCCGGTGTTATATATCAGGCAACTATTTATATCTTAAACTTTAAGAAAAGGTAAAAAGGACTGTAAAATACCTACAATTATTCTGATACAAGGGTTTTGTCTACTAAAAACTGAAATTACTCGATTTCCTGTAGGATTTCGTCTTAAACACTTTTTGCGCTTTACTGATTCCTTAACATTTGCATGTAACACTTAATTATAACGTATAGGAACTTTGAATATCAAAATATATTTTATTCCAGCCTAGAACTATGTACAGTATGTGGTTAAAATTAATCAAACCACACTACATTTAAATCTGGTTCACTACTAACCTTATCTATACAGGCATTTTGTTATTTGATTTTTCTTTTTTTCTTTTCGTTTAGTTCATCTGCTATAATTTTTACTACAAATATTTTATCTTTAAATTAATAGGGTGCTTGTCAATGACTGTATAATTGTTATACTTACGGGAGCAACCCATATAAATATGAAAAATTAAAAAAATTTACCAATCATGTCTGGCGTTGGACGCAATTTAAAGAGTCCTACTGACTCAGGAATGTTGCAGCAAGATTTCTTGATCCAGAACGAAAATACAATCTAACATTATTAGCGCAAGAAAACTATTAAATAAAAATAGCTTTGGTCTGTATTCACAATATCTGAATTTTTCGTCTGACAATAGCATTAATAAGGACTGAATTGTAGCTCCTATGAGTTCTCCACAAGCAGACAGGCCAATAAAGTCTTATTAATTTGAGCTAAAATTCAATTGAATTTGCTGTTCAAAGTTCTGCCCCTCTAAGTCTTCTCCTTTGCTTAATTAATTCATTAAAGATTTGATTGATTTCTTTAAAATCGAACAATGTGATGGTCGCGAGAAGCTGGAGGAAGCTGGTTTGCCCGTCAATTTATTACTTTCCATTTTACCAATTCAGCTTTTTAAACGGTGGAGGCTTGGCAATAAAGATTCATTTACATAATAATCATTTACACAATTATTTCCTCATCCGGCGATTGTGACAAGTAAACCAGGACCACGCCTGCCCTGCGAGCATCATCTTGAGCAGTTGTCGGTGTCTCCTTTCTATTGCTGCCGCTTTCTTCGTGATTGTCTTCACTAATTTCTTGAATAGGAGACGGCGGACGGTTCGGTACATGTAGAGAGGAGAGGGAGAGACGAGTCGAGTTTTCCGGCCCAGCCAGAGTCAAGACAGGCCTGGAGAAAGATGATCGACTGGTCAAATACGTAGGTGAAACGGGGCGTACAGAGGTTTCTGGATCATTTCGGGCAAGCACAAAGGCAGAGTGTGTTGTTGAACTCGGCAGGTGCGACGATGTATGGTAGCGAAGTGCCGGAGTCGATCTGTAGTAAGGCGGGGTGTACCGGGTTGCTGTTGCAGTAAGAACTGGAGTTTGGACTCCAGTATATGTAGCTGAGCTTGGTCTTGATCTTGGCAGGTTACGATGAGTGATGTGTTCCCTTAGGACCACCCCAGACACAGACAAAGGCGAAGGCTGTTGTATTTGGCTTGGGGACAACTCATAGCGTCTAACTCTTCCTTGGGGAGGGAGGCCGGAACCCGGTTGGCCTACACCTGACCGATGTGAAGGCACGTTTAGGTGCGGGGTTCTATCCTGAGGAACTGCAGCGGAGGCACCGGGTGAAGGTGAAGGTGAAGGTGGGCGAGATTGATAGGCAGGGGGATTTAGACAACTGTCTTCGGAAGTCGTGGATTCGAGACGGCGATTTCTACCACACACTCTGTCGTATGCAGGTGGTGGGGTACCCGTTGGCAAACTTTCGGATATCCTATATGGCGGACTCATTGGAGGTTGATAAGGTGGAGGTAGTGGAGCAGAGTGTCGTCGAGCAGCACGACTGGAATTGTCCACAAAAACTCGTGGAGGTTCGTGTTCAGTTCGACGACGTTCGGGAACATGCGGTGGCAGTTGTGGTCTCCCGAGACCAGGGCCGCGTTCATGCTGTTCCCGTATTATTCTCGACGAGCTTGGAATCGATGGCAATGACGCTTCTGTGATGCGGTCGACACGTCTTCGTTCGTCGTCGTGAAATCGTTGGCGATAGATAAATCGCTGCGTGTCTCTTTCGGCTGAACCTTCGGTTGACCGAGAGTTTGATGTAGAATTAACAGTGGAGATTGTTGAACTAACACCTCTGCCATTAAAGATTTCCGACGACGCAAAAGCTACAAATTCCTCTCTGCTCCGTCTGTACTGCTGTGTGTCTCCTCTCGCTCTGGAGCGGTTGAACTTGAGGTAAATTATTATTAACCAGACAACAACGAAGATGAGTAACACACCAAATCCAATCAACGCTCCGGCACTTATCTGATCGATTTCGTTGTTAGAACTTTGAAAGTGTACAACAGCTATTATAATGATGGCTGTTAAGCATAACACCATTAGCCAGCATAGTATTGAGAGCCAGAAAATCTTTCTCCTCCGTAACGATGCCTCATGAGCAGAATTTCTTCTATTCGGAAGTTCAAGCCTTGCCTGCGGACTTGGCGGTCCATCTGGACGGGCAGTACGAGTAGAATGCTCGCTGTTCATGGCTTTCTTTAGATTCCTAGTCGGATCTGAAACGTTTTTAACTCCAACGAAACGAGGAAACGGCAATTTTTGCCCTCAGTGAAGTTTCGCGATCATAAAGGCTTAGACAATGTCGCTAAACTGTTTCTAAATCGGACGAACAACGGCGCATAATTGGTTCTATATTGATGCAGTAAAACTAGTCCACAAAACATCATTCTTGCGGGAAGCGTTCCACACCGCGTCCGGTGACGTGTCAAGCCGTTGAAACTGATGTATATTGCAGTCTGCCCTGAGATTTTTCAAGTCTCTCCACTGAAAAATCGTGATCACGAGCTATCGTACCGTTTATCGACTTTAAGTGTCCCACGATTTTTGTTTACACTTCTTAATCGGACTGTTTAGCTTCTGAAAATGTCTTACAGTTTTTAGACCTGTTTTTTAAAAACAAGCTTAATTAAGTCAGCTTTGGAAAAGATATTGCATCAAAAAGCAAGCTCAAGCTTGACTGCCCTCTTCACGGTGATGAAATTCTTTTTGTTTCTTGACCAATAGTTTTCAATATCGACAACTATTAAATTTATTGCGGTTCTTTTGAATGGATTATTTTCATCAAAACTAGTGTACCTCTCACGAAACGACTTACAGTCGACTTACATCTCCACAAAACACGAGGGATCCAGTTTCTTGAACAAAGAAATTCCAAGCTTTTAAGAAGTTTGATCAACAATATTGACAAACATTATATTAGGTGCGGTTGAAAAAGGTTTTCTTCGGTTAGTTTGCGTGTCTAGAATATAAATGGTTTCCTGCGGGCCACTACAAGCATAGCATTATTGTCATTTCCGTTTTTAAAGTGTGCATAATGGAGTTTGAAATACACTGTAACTGATATTAAGATAAGAACAAAAAAATTATATTGTCACGAAAGAAAGAACACTTAGAAAATATTCTTTCGAGAACGGGTCTTTCTCTAGAACATTTTTATAAATGCTATACTTCTAACTTTTTCGCGCTTGTTTTTCAACGTTGTATGTTGTTTGATTTCCTTGTCTTTGTTAGATAACATTACTTCATCCGTTTTCAATATTGTTGTTCTGTTTGTTTTTGTCTCGTTTTCTCTCTGTTCTTTTGTTTTTTGAAACCACTTTTGTCGTTCAGTTTTCCATGTTTTAAAAAGTAATCTTACTTTTTTAAAAGTAATTAAACTTAAAAGTTTAATTTGTTAAGGTGTTGCCGATATTCTCAGTTTTCGTCCCTTCACATTTCTTCGTTATGTCCTGCTTATCGAGAGCGTGTTAAGTTCTCCGTTAGGAAAAAAATTAAACTGAATCCATTTTTTAAAGCCTCTTGATCCCTTTGGACTTGGGACGCCACATATTGATAAAAAATACCTCGGAAACGTGTTATAATTAGTACAATAGTTCTTTTGTCCGTCGGAGTACTTACCGCTAGAAGCCATATGATCCAGACTGTCTGTTGCAGACACTCAGATTGTGGTGAAGTGAAGCCATACACACGCAAACAAACGAGAGTGTAAAATGTGAAAAATGGTTAAGGCCATTTTTTCTCATTTATCTTGGTTTTCCTGGCCACGACCTGAAAGCCATAGAAAATCATGTGTGCTCACAGGTAAAAAGAAAACCTGGCTAATACTTACCCGGATTGATGCTTCGGAAATAAAAAAATTGTTCTTCAATTGCCCGGCGTGAGAGTTAAAACGTTAACACGTGTTGGATTGTTCATTAAGGACCATTTGATGAGTGATAAGTTTAGATTTGAGTGGGCGTGAATCGATTGTGATGTTACGCATGAAAATCAGTACGAACTTATATTTGTTTTAACGGAATTTCTACTTAACCACGCTTCTAATTTTTTCGAGATTTTAGATTAGATTGACAACAAAAAGGTATTCATGTTGCCGAGTTTTCAAATAAAGCATTCAAGCGTGATTTTAACAGGTTCGACCATGTTCAAATCAATTGGTCGATAAAGGTCTGATGTTGTAAAACATGCACAGTATTCAAATCTGGACTTTTGACTAAATAAACAAATTAATAACAGCGACTCCTTCAGCGACAGCTTAGTCAAAGCAAATGTACGTGACAGTGTGTAGCGAGCAGTGCCAAGCCCAGTGATTTTTGATCAAAATCTTTAAGTGCATGGAATTCCTTTCATTGCTTGCTGTATATTCAGTTGGAGTTCGCAAAAGCTTTTTCGTTCTTGGATCAATTCTTTCTCCAGTCTTTGAGTCAAAAAGGCCTAATGACAACGTTTCATCACAAGCTATGGATAACAACATGATATTAAATATAATTTTAGAAATCCTTGGAAAATACATGCAATCGCAAGATATACTTTGCAGTAGCCGGTAAATAGTAATAATAATTTGCGTGACCCAAGAGAAAGAACAAAACTTTAGGGGAACTGGAACGAGTACAAAAGTCAGCGTTCCTGACTCCCGCAGTTATTAACAGGCTAAGAATGGATGGATGCCATCCTGCAAGCCCTTTAACAAGTTGGCGATAAAAGATAAATAACAGATTCTTGAGAACCGATGATCAAAAGTATTTTTGCTTCAAAATTTTTCTAATGAAATTCAAAACAGTTGGAGTAACTCAGGTTTCATTATCGGTTTGTTTTCATTTTATTTTGCTTTAATACTAAACTAGTAAGACACGGTGGGGAATGGGAAGCCAAAAGGTGCACTGTGAGAATAATTTCTGAAACTTTACACTGTTGTACAACTCGTCATTCTCCAAAACCTTATGCTTTTAGTTTTAAAGATTTTGGAATTTTTGGCGGAAAATGACGTTACGAAATTTGGGGGAAAATTTTGGCTTTAGTAATATGGGATGTCTAATGTTACTATTTGAAAGAGGTTTTGAAGAGAGTCTCGAAAATGAAAAAAAAAAAAAAAAAAAAANATATGTCTATCCACTCAAAACATATGAGGCTTTGAAATTTGAAATTTCCCGCAATTTTGTTACTAAAAATAGCCCAAAATGGAAATTTCCTCTCAGTGTGCCCACTCGGCGTGAGATCATTTACATTCAGTTCACAAGCACACGAGACCATGGAGGTAACAGAGCCATGTTTACTGCACTACAAATCAGGCCAGGTGAAAATAAATTTATCTCAAAATAATCTAATAGAACAAATCGGTCACCGCAGAGAAAACTGCACAAGACAAAATTCGTCACAAGCTCCCCTAAAATATTGAAATTACTGATTGAAATTGAAAAAAAAATTGAACCTTCTCGTCACAACTCACTGGTTACCCATTCCATCCTCTCTTCCGGGCCATGCTGTGGGAAAAAAAAACAAACTTTACACTGAACAAGTCTTAGAAAGCATTTCCCCGCTGCTGTTCCTTGGATCAATTGATAGCATATTCGAAACATGGCAAGGCCTCACGATTTTAGCATTTGCATCGTTATAGCTGAAACTTTCGTGAATTTGATCAGTGAGTTCTACAGCAGTCAATACTTTGCCGGCATCAGACACGCTTGATTTTAAGAGACTAAACCTTATTCAGTACTTAAATATAATGCGGTTAGGGGTCGGCGGTTTAAGGTTGCCATTACCAGCGAAAAAAAAAAAACCGTCTCGCAGACCTTTGTTTGAAATGCAAAATATATATAATATTCATCTTTACTGCAATATATTTTCACAGTGTCTCATTGGGCTGAACATTAACCTTACTGCATAATTTACATAATTGTCTGACTTGTACAACATATGATATAAAAGATTATACACTCTTTTTTTATGTATGTAGGAATATTGTTTTCTTCTTTTTCAGGCCCAGGCTAAATATTCGTATTTTTCTGCCAATTTTAGGCTGAAAATATTCGTGGGAAAATTCTTAGGATGTAGCGTATGGCATTTCCGTTTTCTTGACTTCGATGGTGTTGAAGTAATTTTAGAATCCAGACTGCATGCAATAACGCCTGTTATGACACATAACTGCTTGCAGAAATGTTATTATCATCGAACATACGGCTAGTGCGTTTTTGTTGTTGTTGTTTTTTTTTTGGCTAGTTTTGCCGTGTAGAGAGAGGAAGAATTTTACACGGTTTAGTTAAAACTAATTATAATTGTATCGTAATTACAATTTATTAACACGCAAAATTATATTCTTTTCAAAATCTCAGCTTCGGTTTTATTCTTAAAATAATCAAAAAATTCGCAAATTTCAGCCTCGATATTAGCTGAACCAGGATCAACGAGGATACAAGCGAGGAAAACGTGGCAAGAGGCCGCGAGGCAGACTTGCATTAGGGTGTAAAATGGAATCCGACCTGTCATGAGGTCGGCGGCGTTCTAGTCACTCTTAGTTCATTTTAGTCGCGTGCTATGCATATGTAGGCGTTTTGTATCGCCGACACTTGAAGTGACCAAAAATATACAGTTTCGGTTGCTATT